AGTGTCCCCAAGTCCAGGAATTGCCACCTCACCTCTGTCTGATGGTCGTTGCAGCTGTTACAGAGCGGGGGCTTCTGCTAAGGTTCAGAGCTGGTGTTGAGTACCATCAGGAAGAAAGCACTCCGAGGGCAGGAGGACCTGGCCAGGTGGGGTGAAGGGTTGGGTAGGCTGGGTGGACCCTGGCTCATCTCTGAGGACAGGCGATGATCTCACCCGCAGCGCCTCATGACAGGAAGCTCTGCTTTTTACTAACAAGTCAGAAACCCAGGTTTTGAACGTCAGGCCCCAGGCTGGCAACTAGTTAAAAATGTGGAGACCTTGTGACCCACAGGCAGATCTTTCCAACTTCTTGGAGGCTGGTGGTGGTGACCCTGGGTGGCCAGGACAGGGCCCAAGCGGGTGGCAGCTGGCGGGAGGTGGGCTCTTCATTGCGGGGGTGTGGAAGCTGGACCTGTGGTCAGGATTTGTTGAGTCAATCCTGACTCATCGTGAGAAGGGCCTCGTCACACTCCCGAGGCTATCGTCTTTATAGGGGCAGCTTGCCAGAGCCTGTCGCCCATGGACCCTCTGCACGGCCGCCTACGGCCTCCCTTCCAGTTACTGTCGGCTAGCGCTTCATCACTGTGTCCCCAGAGTCTGCGTGTCCTTAAAGCAACCTGATGTCAGATATAAAATGTCCCCGAGTGGGCCTATGCCAGTGTCTGGTTAATTGACTGGATTAATGAGCGCACATTCTTCCTGGGGCCTCCTATACCCAGGAGGCTCCCCCAGAAGGGCACCGAGAGAGCGAATGGGGAGCAAAGCTTTCTCCAAGAACCCTGACCATGCAACTCCAGTGGATGTTTGTAGCTTGTTGACTCAGCTTCTGCCTCTCCAGGGAGAGTGGGAGTTTGGGGACCCTCATAGGTCTGTGCTAATTGTGGTCCAGGCTCTTTTTTTTTTAAAAAAAAATTTAACTTGTTATTATAAATTGCATGAAGGTTTATAGGGCAGGCAGTTTTCCAAGCAGCAGCTCACACACCTTTTATTTCATGTCATGGGCTGCATCCCCATGCAACAAACGTTGCTTATCCTATAGTGTAGCACTGCTCGGTCTACAATGTAACAAACATCACTCATCCTACAATGTAACAAACATCACTCATCCTACAATGTAACAAACATCACTTATCCCACAAGTGCTCTTGCTTTGTTTCCATTTGGCCTCCTCTCCTGCTGTCCCAGCTTTGCCCCAGGCAAATGCTTCCCTTTGGATCCTAAGTGTTTGATGATTCTAAGGTATGCATAGCTCCCTAGTGTGAGTGAGTGAGTATGTGTGTGTGTGTTTTAGAAGTTTCAAGTCCTTTCCTTATCCGACTCTTGAGATTGGAGGACTTAGGTTGAAGTCTTAAACTTTGGTTGAACGGAAACACTCTCTTTCCCACTCAGTTTCGCATTTTGAGTCTTGCCAGTCTGTGAAGCTGTGAGGCAGATGAGTGAAGATTAAATCAGGAGCTTGTGTACATAAATGACTGTTCTGAAATGTAAACCCACTGGGAAAACACGAGACTCCAGTATCAATAGGAAGCCAGGCAACTCCTGCCATGATAAATTAAAGTTCTTTCTCTAAAGGTACAATTCCTTCCCCTTCCTGAAAAAGCTGAGTTCTACTTTTTCTGTGTGGTTACAATTCAAATCATTTTCTAGTGGCATTGTTACCTGTCTATTGGTTGGCAAAAAATTGAGCCACGGGGCTGAGTTCAGTCCCAGGCCTGTAGGGTGACCAAGGGCCATACATAGTCTTGGGGTTCCACGGTCTCTATCCCACCTGTCTATCCTACCATCTCTAGTCCACCCATCTCTATCCCACCGGTCGGCCTGGCCTTTGGTTTGATTTTGTGTTCCGTTCCACGTTTTCCCCCACTCTCACCAGGCCCCTCTGATAGCCATTTTGGAGCAGTTGGTAGTGGTAGCCAGCACCACCTGGTTATTCTGGTCTCAGAGTGGTGGCCGTTGATGTATGTGTGCCCATTCATCCCGTGGCCTAATTGCTTCCCTGTGCTTTCAGTTTTCCCCATTCTCCTCTGGGCAGGGAGAGAGCGATAGTGGCACTTTAAATGACTGCAGATAGCTCCTAGTACCCGGGCCGCTACTCACTAACATAGGATGCAGAGCCTTGTCTTGTGGGCTGTGCCATGCCAATGGGCCTGAGTTTCCACCCCCGCCACCATGAACTCCATGCCAGCAGTTCATTGGCTATAGCTAGTAAGTTTTCATAACTCTGCCTCCTGTCTGCTCTGCTGTATTCATGGGTATGTTTGCAGCGAAGGTAAGTACGTGGTAGACATATCCTCTGTTGGACTGATCTATAGCTGTGGACGTAGTCTCCTCTCCTGGGTCAGCTTGTGTGTCTTTGCATCTGCGGCTCGATCTCCATTATGTGTGTGTGTGTGTGTGTGTGTGTGTGTGTGTGTGTGTGCATGACTCCGTACCCGTGGCAAATTGTGCCTGTGCCACATGGTACCTCCGCATGATATCTATGTTGCCTTTTGCCCTTGTGCCTTTGATGTCATTGTTTTTGTGGTGTGTTAGGCGTCCTGCCCTCTCCTTCCCCCAGGTTACTATGTGTCTACCTTCTAGTAAGTACCAGCATTTTAGATGTGGTCCTCACAACCCGCTGGGTGCTGCTCTCATCCCTGTTTTAGAGAGGACAGAATTGAGGCTCAGAGAGGCAAAGTGACTTGCCCCAAGCCACCCAGCTAGGAAGGGGGTGGGGTGGGAGCTGGGATTCAGGCTCAGAACCGTGGGCACTGTTAATGGGCACGGAGGGTCCTGCTCCGCTGGTCAGTCAAACACAACGTGGGCGGATTGGGGCCGCGGAACCAATGGCCCCCGGGGTGCTTCTGAAGAGCCGAGGTCTGTGCTCACGCAGCACACACGAGTGTGATGTCCAGGCTGTGCCAGGCTGTTTTAAGTGCTCCGTCAACATGTGCCAGGGACCCTTCATGAGGGACCCGTGACATAAGGACTGCCAGGCCCTCAGCGTCCGCTCTTGAGAAACAGCCACGGGGACAAGGGACAGGGCTGATGGGGACGCGCAGGTCCTGAGCACAGAACCTTAACCTGGTATCACTGTGACCTTGGCAGGGTCCCCACGCCTGCCCAGCCCCCACGTTCTCCTCTGAGAGCAGTCCTTAGAGCTGACAGGAGCACCGAGAGGGCGGGGGCGGGCTGGGGGGCTGGGGAGGGGCTCCAGGTGGAGGAGCACAGAGGTGGACACCCCCTCTCCCCTTCTACCGTCCCCTGCAGCCGCTGGTCCGAGAACTGTGCCGCAGCTGTGCCCTGGTGTCCAGCTCCGGCCAGATGCTGGGCTCGGGCCTGGGCGCCGAGATCGACGGAGCTGAGTGCGTGCTGCGCATGAACCAGGCGCCCACGGTGGGCTTCGAGGCGGACGTGGGCCAGCGCAGCACCCTGCGGGTAGTCTCGCACACGAGTGTCCCCCTGCTGCTGCGCAACTACTCCCACTACTTCCAGCAGGCGCGGGACACGCTCTACGTGGTGTGGGGCCAGGGCAGGCACATGGACCGCGCGCTGGGCGGCCGCACCTATCGCACGCTGCTGCAGCTCACCCAGATGTACCCGGGCCTGCAGGTGTACACCTTCACGGAGCGCATGATGGCCTACTGCGACCAGGTCTTCCAAGATGAGACCGGCAAGAACCGGTGAGGCTGGGCCTTCGGGGGTGTGGTGCCGGAGGTGGGGAGGTCATGTCTTGGAGATTGCAAGTGGTGACAAAGGGCATTTGGCCTGTGAGCCCAAGTGGGGGCCTATCAGGGGCCGCATCTTTGAGGAGGGGGTGCTCTGAGGCCAGAATCAGTCCCTGAAGTCCCCACCAGATGATGGAAGTCACACAGGCCTATCTGCCTTGTTTGCAGGGGGGCACTGATTTCACACCCCACCGAGCACTCACCCCTGCCCGCCCCCCTCCTGTACACTGGCCCCTCCCCTCAGCCCCTCCAGGGCAGGGGACAGCAGCCCTTTCCAGCTCTGTAGCCAGAGCATCTAGCTGCGCCCCAGAATTTGCCTGTCCCATCCCCTGGAGTCATCTCTAGAGTCATCTCCTTGGTCTTCAGTCTCTCCTGCCCTGGCAGTCCCCTGGCCGGTCTCCCTGCCACCTGCCTTGCCCCTGCACTCTGAGCTCCTCCTGTTGCCCCCCGGGGAATTCCATCCCATCAGGCACCTGTCCTTAAACCTTCAGGAGCACCTCAGTCCACAAGCAGACAGTCTGGACTTCCCACCCCTCCCCTCTGCTGGTCCTCAAGCCTTATCTCTCAGCTACACTGGCCTTCTGGGCCTCCCAAGGTGATCTGTAAGCCTTGGCCCTCGCCCTTCCTCCTCTCGGAATGTTCTCCCTCTGTGTCTTTCTAAGGCTGAATCCTGGCTTGTCACGTTTCTGGGGTTTGCCTCCACCCTCCTGCCCTGACATATTTTATCCTGTGACTTTGTTTCTTTGTCCCACCAGCACATTGTCTTACTCATTTCCTTGTCTCCCAGCTGCCCCTGCACCAGTGCGGCCAGTTCCAGGCCAGCCAGGTTGGTGTCAGTCCCAGTGACTGAACCACTCCAGGATGGGGCCTGTGATTTATTCCTGTTTCCCAGATGGGTCTCTGAGCCTCGGAGAGGTTGGCTCCAGACACCCCACCCCATTGGGCTCTGTTTCCTCCTGTCTATTTCCTCAAGCCTTGTCCCTTTCACTTGGACCGAGTGACCAGGACCCTCGCCTAGGGAAGACGTGAACAGACCAGGCTGGCCTCGGGCTTCATCTCGCGCTGCTGCTGGCCTTGGGCCGGCTTCCCCCGAGGGTCCCCAGTAGAGGTTCAGGTGAATGGCGCCGGGCCTTGGTCCACTTTGTGCGGGCGGCTGACGTGTGTCTCTCTCTGGCAGGAGGCAGTCCGGTTCCTTCCTCAGCACCGGCTGGTTCACCATGATCCTGGCCCTGGAACTGTGTGAGGAGATTGTGGTCTATGGAATGGTCAGCGACAGCTACTGCAGGTCAGGCCAGCCAGGCAGGCTGGGCAAGTCAGGGGCCCCCACGCAGGCCTCAGCTGCAGGGGTGAGGAGCTCGGGGTGCAGGCTGTGTGGTCAAGGACGGGGCATGCTGGGAGGTAAAGAGCTCAGGCCCTGGGACGGGCCAGGTGATGGGTGGTCCCGGTGTAGGCACGCCACCTCCTGAGCCTCAGTGGCCGTGGAGTCTTTGCCAGCTCAGGGCGGGCCATGTGTGTCAGTAGAACTGGGCCCCATGGGGCTTTCTTTCAGGGGTGGGTTTTCCACTGTCACTGTGAGGGGCTGCTGAGGGGCTTCCAACTCATGGCCACCTGTGGCCACGTCACAAACCACTGCCCCAATTTCTCACCCGGGGGCCTTCTCCTGAACTGCTTCTGGGTGGACTCAACCACCCACCTTGCAGCGAGCATCTGCGCGCCTTTCACAGTTGTCACCACCCAGGGATGCCTCAGAACATTTACCCGACGGTTACTAATTCACCAATTGGCACAGCACCGGCCCAAGATAGGGAGCAGTTGTCGATTACACGGAAGTGATTCTTCTCAATGCTATTATTCTTTTTTAACCTTACTCTTCCTTAATACTTTACTAAGTATTGTTTATTAACAATTTCTACTATCTTTTGTTAATGTTTATTATCATTTACGGTTAATATTTGCTATGAACTTTTCAAGGTGCCCTGGTGCGGCTGTCAGGTGAGCCTTGGACCGCTCACTGCAAGGTCTGCGGTTCAAACCCCACAGCCGCTCCATGGGAGAGAAATGAGGCTGTCTGCCCTCGTAAAGGTTTTCAGCCTCGGAACCCCCTTTGTCAGGCCACTATGAGTTGGAATCCCCTTGATGACTGGGTTCGGTTTGGTTTTTACCTTTTAAATATTATTGAATAGCACCATGGACTTTTCAGACTGGCTCAAATTATTATTTTGTGCTATTCTTGGATTATCATGTCACTATTATTATATATAAGAAATTAGGGAGCCGTCCCACATTTCCACTCCCTGTTCTCTCAGGGACGTGTTTGTGTGTGTGTGTGTGTGTGTGTGTGTGTGTGTGTAGGGGGTGACGGCAGGAGCCTGTGTGCCCTTGCATGATGAGGGACAGACTGGGCACATGCGTTGCCCATAGGCAGCTAGCCGTGCAGGACTGGGTGCTCTCTTCTGCATGTCCCCGGGGGCTCCCTCACCAGCAAGGAGCCTGTAGCCTTAGTTTTTGTGATCACACCCTCACTTTGGGGGGGTGGCCACGCCCATAGTTCCTATTTTACAGATGGACTGAGTCAGCCCCCTGGCACCAGATGGAGCAGGGGCTTGAACGCTGGCCCTTTGGCTCCTCCCTGTCGATTCTGGCCTCCCCTTGGAGCATTTGGGGAGGGGTGGTGGAGGTGGGGGGCGTGGTCTGGCCCCTGACCCCTCCCTCTGCCTGCCCGCCCCCGCAGGGAGGAGCGCCGCGGCGCCTCTGTGCCTTACCACTACTTCGAGAAGGGCCGCTTGGACGAGTGCCAGATGTACCTGGCGCACGAGCGGGCGCCCCGCAGCGCGCACCGCTTCATCACCGAGAAGGCCGTCTTCTCCCGCTGGGCGAAGAAGAGGCCTATTGTGTTCGCTCACCCGTCCTGGCGGGCTCAGTAGCCCCGCTGGCCGCCATGCCTTCTGCTGGCCTTCATTCCATCAAGGCCACCACCAACCCAAAGACCAAGCTCACTGCCCTGGAGTTGATTCTGACTGGGGGTCTTGAACAGCTGACCTTATGGAGCTGCCACCAAGGCTTACTCAAGGCCACCACACTGCACCAAAAACCTTGTAATGTGTGGCTCCTACCTCCTGCCCCATACTAGGGTCACATGGAAGCCCCTGCAGTTTCATGACCTGAGGGGCCCCGGGGGGCGGCCATGGTGAACTCAGCATGTCCCTCCCCACCCTGCTTCCCAAGCCATCCCCATCTTTACGTGGGCTTCACCTCACCTCCGGGTCTGTCCAGTGGCCTTTGCCCCTGGGGCTGATGTCCCCCCCATTCACCAGCATCATGACCTTCGAGCTTGCCCCGGCCCTGGTCCTTCTCGCCCCTCACCCACCCTTGGTGCCATACCTCCCGGGCTGGTTGTCCTGCCCCAGTGCCCTGGGCAGGGTAGCAACGGTCTGGGAGCTCACTGGGCAAAGGGACTATTGAAATAGGACCTGACGTCAGGGCCATCTCAGGAGTGGACGGTAGACGTGTTTTCTGACACCTGCCTCTGTAGGCTCGTGGGTCGGGGTGGGGAGTGGGGGTGAGGCTCCCCTCCCTGACACATTCCGAGGCCTGGGTGTCCCTCTCAGGCTGGTGGCCAGCTGGGCTGCTGGGATTAATTTTTTTTCCCTCTTAAGTAATTTATTTTATTCTTGTATGTTGTTGAATACGGACGCAGCAGAAACAAATGAACTCCGTCTCCGTGTACGATTCCATGCCTGGATCGCAGCCCTCCCGGTCGGTGCACAGCGACGCTCCCTTCCTTTTCCTAATGAGCACCCCCTCCTCCCCAACGTGTGCTCTAGGAGTCCTGGTGGGGAAGAGGCTGGGCTGTAATCCGCAGCGTCGGCTGTTCGAAGCCACCCGTCCCTCCCCAGGAGAAAGCGGGCTCTCTGTCCAGAGGGGCGGTGTTGGAAACGCACAGGGGTGGCCCCGCCTGCACCATGGGCTGCTGTGAATCGCATGGACTCCATGGCTGTGAGTTTGGCTTGGTTTGCTGCCTCTCTGTCACTGGGTCAGCTTCCCCAGAGGCTCCCTAAATCCCAAACTCTGCAAAGCAGGCAGAGGGCAGCCTCGCGGGGGTTGAGGGGGGGCCCGGGGGCGGTGGGTGGCTGGGGTCCAGGGCTTCCTTCTCCAAGTCTCAGTTTCTCACCTGGGAAGTGGCAAAAGCTGACCATGAAGGAGGGGGACTGGTCTAGCTCCACTTTATAGAGGAATTGAGGGGTCAACCTAACCGAGGTCTGGCTGAGCAGAACCTGAGCACCTGCTCCTATGCCAGGGGCCCGTAGAGGTAACTGTCCTCCGGCCCTTCTCTCTCCTCCCTCCGTCTGGAGACCGATGGAGACAGCGGCCAGGGGTTAGGGCCACTGAGTGGCTATGTGAGCCGTGCAGGTACGTCTCACTCCAGGACAGTCAAACCTGGGTGGAGCGCTCTGCTGTGGCCAGCCTGGAAGTCTGAAGTTCTTCACAAGGACCCACCTTTTCATTTCGCACTGGGCTCTGCAAATCACAGCCACTGTGTCAGGGACTCTGCCCCTTCCCCACCCCAACACACACACAGCCTTCTCGGGAGAGTGTGGTGACCTGGCCCACAGCTCTGCCTTTGTGAGACAAGAGCACTCATCAGGTGTTGGGGTATGGGGGTCCTCAGGGATGACTTTGCAATTATGGAAAATGACAGACAGTGGGGCACAGGGGCTCCGCGTCCCGGTGTCAGGACTTACAGGGTGGATGTATTTTCCAGTGGGTGTATGAAATGGGGCTTACAGATCTTTCAAAAGGCATGCAGGTCATACAGCGAACATATTATATAAGTCAGTGGGTGATATCATGAGTGGGTAACATAATAAACCAGCCGTGAGGTGAGTTACCTTGACCTAGTGCTAGTTGACCTCGAACCCCCTTGAGCCCCTCCCAGGGAAGAGTTTGCTACATTTATGATGTGTTGGCTATAGAACCTGATACCTCTTATCTACAGATACCATCAGGCATACGGATGAGTCGTCTGATATAAGGATGACTCATCTGATGTGGTAGCTCTTTTATGACAGCTCCTTTATGGAGGGTTATTGGAGGGACTGGGTTCAGTCATGAGAATGTGTATTAAGGTTTATGTTTAACTCATAGCCGTAGGCGTTCCCCCACCGGAGACAGCTTTCCAGACCTATAATTATGAGCATAGCGCTGGTCCCTCAGTTTACCACAATCAGGGTTGAGGTGGGCCTTGAGCTGGCGAACAGGGAGCACTGCGTGGGTAGGAGCAGATTGACCCCATGGGTGCTAGGGGCGGCCAGGGTCTAGGAGCAGGTGGTGGGCAGAGGGAAGGCTGGGGTGCAACCTGGCAGGCCTGTGGTGGGGAGGTAGTGGGGGGAACCTCCAGGCTTGGAGGGAGGTCTCTGGAGCCAGAGTTGGCCTCGCTCTGGTGCCCCATGGCGCTGTTGTGGCCGATAGGATGATGCCCCTCTCAGAGCCTCGGTGCCCTCATCTAGAAAGGGGTTTAGAACGGCCCTTTCCTCGGGACTGCACGGATTCAGAGAGGTGGCACGCATGCACTGTCTGGCCCCAGAGCTTAGGAGTGTCTGGAACTTGACAAGATGTTAACTGCTGCCCGGTGGTCAGTGCCCACTCGTGGCCCTGCCAGCCAGGGCCTGCCCCGCTTCCTGTTACACAAGCTCGAACCCTGTGCATGGTGAATGCTTTCTAGTCTAAAGGGGCTTGGGTTCTTGTTAGTCTTTCAGAGACAAGAGGCAGGGGGGACCTTTAATTAATAGATTCATTGAGGGAAGGGAAGTGTGTAGGAAACAGGAAATCAAAGGAAATGAATGAAAGGGATTTAGGATAGTCAGATAAAGAAAGCTTAGCATTGGCCCTTTGTCTAAAGCCAGAGAATTAGCTAACCCAAAAAAGTATAGAGACCGCAAGAGCCGCTATTACAGAAAGGAAGAGAGAATTGGGCTTAGTACAGACCTATTAGCAAGCGACAATAGTTCGGTGAAGGAGTTAATGGGGTCTTTCCTGGCCACGGGCACTGCCAGCCCATTGTATTGCAGAGAGCAACTTTATGCCAGGGAACACGCAGGTGAGCCAAGAGGAGCTGGTAGAGAGAAGGAGAGAGGGAGAGAGAGAGGCATTTTCAGAGGGCCTGCAGGGTGAGAGCAAAGAGCTTGTGTGGGAACTAAGCAGCAAGGGCAGGGAGAGAACAAAGGCTCGGGTATTCAGGTCTTTGGGATGTCTATAATGCATCTTCCTGGTTAGTGCTAGTAACTCCAATGGGCTGGGCGCCAGCTTTGGTGAGCTGACGTCACTTAACGGGAGGTGAGGTGGAGGGGGATGGCCGTGGAAACAGAAGAAATGCCTGCTGCTGCCCCCGGACCCTAGAGTTCTCATCAGCTCCTTTTTGAAAGTAGATCACCATGCCTTTCTTCCTGGTCTTAGTCTGGACACTCCACTGACACCTGCCCAGGTGAAGCTTCCAGCAACACAAGAAACACCACAGTCTGACCACTGACACGAGATGGACTTCCCCTACCCTCTCTGGTCACAGAAGGGTAGTGTGGCAATGGGGCGTCATCGTCAATCAACCTCCTCATCGAACTTAACCAGCAGGGAGGAGAATCAGCACTCAGAGCTCGGGGCTGACCCTGGAAGGCGCAAGTCAGACATTTCTCCTTGTTACCAGCAGGGACAGCTGCTGTCCCTCCCACGGCACTGGCTCCTTCTCTGCAGGGCTTAAGAGTTCATTGCCTTGGTCACACACAGCTCTCAGACCATACAGTTAGGGGATTATTAGGGAAGTAATAGGTTACAGGCTACAATTCGCGATCAGGGACAATTCAGGACACAGTTCTTTAATCAGGAGAACCTCTTCTTAGCCAGGCCTGCAGATAGGCCTCTTAACGACCCTTGGCCTCTCTGCCCCTTGATGGAGCCACTAGCTGCTTGGGCAAGCGTTACAAAGTTCTTTAGTTTTGCCATTAAGTGTCTGGTGATAAGTCTCTGGCAAGAAGCCTCTTGTCTGAAGGTTCCCAACTCTCAATTCATACTCCTTCTCTGTAACCACCTGCTCTGGGTGGCATGGAGCCCCTGCGTGCCCAGCGCTGGGCTCCTGGTTCTACCGTCGCCGCTTGGCACCATTGTGCACCATCTCTGCCTTGACTGCTCTCCACCTCCTGGGTTTAGGAGGGACCTCCAGTCCAAGGGACACCGTCCGCTCCCACCTCTTCTGATCCCTGCTGTCTGCCTCTGGGGTGGCTCTTTTGAAACCTAGCAGGATGGCAAAACTGCTGACCCCTTGGTTGGTGACAAAGGCCATATAGGTGGGAAGATCTCCCATCCGCACATGAGCTGCCTCACTGTCCCCCAAAGTCCAGGGTCTGCTGGTCCTGATGAGATCTGAACTCTGCCTCTTCTCAAACCACGCCCGCTGTCCCAAGGCTTTTCTGACTCAGAGGATAGAGTCGAACTGTCCCGCGGGGTTCCACAGAGCCAGACAGCCCTAACTTTCTCCGGTAGTTGGCCGGTGGGTTCCGATTGCTGACCCTGAGGTTCTCAGCCTAGCGCTGGAATCGCTGAGCCACCAGGGTGCCTTTTTCTGCCTCCGTGGTTCAGAAACTGGCTTTGCCCTTCGGTTGAGCACACAGAGAGGTATCTATGTCTTGGTCCCACCCCAGGGTGGGGTTTATTGCTGAGTTTGCCTACTGGATGCTGGTGGTGGCCGAGCAGGGGTGTAATCTTCCTGCCAGTCTGTCTCTCAGGCAGATGATAACGAACCCCGGTCGGCCCAGGACCTAGTTTGGGCTCTTTGTACAAGCCAGGCTGAGAACCCTTCTCCCCTGCTGCTGCCGTGGCCGGTGGGTGCCTCGAGGTGAGTGGGAGCAGCAGCCTCCTGGCAGGCCCTGGGGAGTCGGGATTCCCTCTGGGAGTCTCTGGTTCCCGGTCCACACTGGGTGTGCTGGGGACCCACCTCACTGCTTTGCACCCCTAGGGCCAGAGGCCAGAGGGGAAACCAGGTGGTCTTCTCACCCCAGGGGCATCATACCGTGACCCTGTAGGGCAGAGTAGAACTGCCCCTTGGGGTTTTGTTTTTGCATTACAAAACTTTTTATTGGGGGGGGGGTTTACAGGGCAGATCAGCAGTTATTCCGTGTGTTGTTGCCTTTCATTCGGCAGGGGTGGGGGATGGGACCCCCTGCACCAGCACTGCCTCTACTTCCTCCCTCTGCTCCGGGTCCCAGCCCTCCGGGCCTAGCTCTCTGGACTTTGTTCTTGGATTCAGGCGGCCTTTTAACTTCACCAGGGTTTCCAAGCCAGTCACCTTTATGGGAGCAGATGGCCACAGCTCCCCCCTCCCCTCCCCCCCCCCCAAGCTGCTGCGGATTTGGAATCCCTGGCCTTTGGGTTTGCCACGGAGCGCTTTAACCATGGAGCCACCAGGGCTCCGTCTTACAGAACACACATAACTTGTGAATAGTGAGTGTCCAGTGTAAATGGGTGTCTACGGGGATATCTGCTTGACCGCTATCTCCTTCACCACGGTGCCCAGAGGCTGGGAAGAGAATGTTGAATGGATGGGTGAACGCGTGTGCTGAAGGAACAGAGGACAGAGCCCCGAGGCCACGCTGGTGTTGCCCACGTGCCGGTGTGCAGAAGGGCTTCGAAGGCTGGGAGCTGCTTACCTGTGAACCTCATG